CTAGTATCTTCAGCGCTTATCTGCCTTAGGAAGGCATCTTATACATACTTATATTTCATCTTATTAGAAGAAGCAAAATAGTAGCAATGAAATATGACAGCACCTATATCCCAGCGTTTCGCTTTGATGGATCATATGAAGAATGTAGGATTCCTTGCTCGTTCCTGTCAGGCCAGGCAATAACAGGACAGTGGGTCTTGTGCTGGCATCCGGATAATATAAGCTGTCATTATTATCAAACCAATCCAATGAAATCTGTCCTCCATCTGCTGTTTTAATGAGCTCACTGAAAGGCACATTTCAAGACAACACTGATTAGATTGAAAAATACATGCATACTCTTAAGAGTGCTTACAGTGTACAAATTACTGAGTATGAATTCTGAATTTTTAATTATGTTTTAATACTCAGAGTGCCACCTAACTAGATACGTTTGCATGTTTACCATTCAGAAAGAGCCATGGCTACAGCTGAAAAAAGTTAGCAAAGTCAATTTGTGGAGTAATTCTCATTCACAGTAAACGAAGAAAGAGCTGGCCTTTCATGAATTGCTGCTGATGTACTGGAAGCTTGTAACTAATGTGATTTTTGGCACTGCCTTCTATTTTATATAGGGTTGTGTACTGCAGATTTCCTTTGGATCATCTGAGAATCTTTTGATAGCACACTAGGCAATGTATTAAACATCTGTCCCATTTTTTTCTATTCATCCAAAGAAGCAGCATGTATAATAGATGGCAGTTCGTTATGTTTTAAACACACGGAACACAGACACACACTACTGTATCTTTCACCCTGTATCTCCACAAACATTGCTAGAATCTACTCTTAAACCATGTATCTTAATGCAACAAATATCATGATACCCCAAGAAGGTAAGCATGCATTAAACAATGACAAGAAGGTTTCATTCTTTTTTCAGAAATAAACAGCATCTTCCCTTTTCCTGGCTAGGAAGACATTGTATGAGAGAGTTGGTGTAGGAACTACTAAAATGTAAGCCTACCTTGCATTTGATTTTTCATTTGAAAGTCTTGACAGCACCTAGTCCAGATTTTAAAGCTCATCAACCTTCTTGGACTCATTAACTCAGCTTTTCCCTTTTTCAGTAATGGGAAGTAGATGCAATGATGGTGTGTACTGCCAACACAATCTCAAATGGTGGAAAATAAGCATTGCCCCATGGAACTATGTTTCTTCCCTCACAAACCTTGAAATAGAGAGTATACAAGAAGGGCTAGAAAAAGTGGACATGGCCATACCACTGAAATGTTTCCTAGTTACTAAAACTAAGGGAAGCTGCTAAATGCTAAATCTATTCTACCATGAAAACAGAGCTGAAACAACTTGTGCTGCATCCAGGTTCCGGCGTATAAAAGTACTTCTCCTTAGGTCTTGTGCCAAATGCCTCATTTGCCAGACTAAGTCTCATTTCTGTGTGAGAGAGATCAGCTGAGGACAAACACTAAGTGTAAGTTTTTTCCCTCTTAGAATTTAGGCATCAAAGAACACAACATAACCCCCCACCCCCTCAGGTAAAAGTTACCATGAAAATCCCAGAAGTTTTATGTATTCAAAACAAGGCTAAATGTGGCCATGCTATAGTTAGGATAGAATGTGTTGGTTCAGTGGACAGATACAGTGATTGCATGACCTTCGAAAAACGATGGCAAACACCAGAATATTTGATACACCAGATGACTGTGCTGCCATCCAGAGGGACCTCAAGAGGCTGGAGAAATGGGTTGACAGGAACTTCAGGAAGTTCAGTGAGGGGAAGGGCAAAGTCCTGCACCTGGGAAGGAACAAGCACATGCACCAGTACCTGCTGGGGGCTGACCAGCTGGAAAGCACCTTTGAAGAAAAGAATGTGGAGAATCCTGGTGGACACCATGTTGAACATGAGCCAGCAATGCACCCTCGCAGGAAAGAAGGCCAACAGCCTCCTGGGCTGCATGAGGAGGAGCATTGTCAGCAGGTTGAGGAAGGTGATCCTTCCCCTCTATTCAGCACTGGTGAGGCCACACCTGGAGTACTGGGTCCACTTCTGGGCTTCTCAGTACAAGGGAGACATGGACATACTGGACAGAGTCCAGCAAAGGGCCACAAAGATAATGAAGGGACTGGAGCATCTCTCCTATGAGGAAAGGCTGAGAGAGCTGGGACTGCTCAGCTTGGAAAAGGAAAGGCTCAGGGGGATCATATCAATGTGTTTAAATACCTGAAGCGAGGGTGCAAAGAGGATGGAGTGAGGCTCTTGTCAGTGGCGCCCATTGACAGGACAATGAGTGAGGCAATGGCCACAACTGGAAACACAGGAGGTTCCCTCTGAACATCAGGAAACACTTTTTCACTGTGAGGGTGACTGAGCACTGGCACAGGCTGCCCAAGGACATTGTGGAGTCTCCATCCTTAGGGATATTCAAAAGCTATCTGGTCGTGGTCTGGGGAAACTGGCTCTAGGTGGCCCTGCTTGAGCCGTGGGGTTGGACAAGGTGACCTCCAGAGGTCCTTTCAGACCCCAACCACTGTGTGATCCTGTGAACATATAACCGCATCAGCCACCAATATTTCAGTGCTCCAAAACTCTCTGAGCTAAAATAGGGCCATCTGCGAGCCCTGACCTTTTAAACCTACTGTATATTGAATCCAGGACAGAGATGGTTCCAAGTCTATAATGGAGTTGTAAAGGCAGGCATAAAGCAAAAAAAAAAAATGGGCACAAGCCCGAGCAATGACGGTAGCTGTGACACAGTCAGAGTAAGGTAACTGCTGGCTACCGAATCACTCACTTTGCAGAAGGAAGGCACTTACTTCCTGTACTGTACTTGAGGTCTAGAGGTGATAAAGGGACGCAGGAGTGTCTGCACTCGACCTTCCCAGCACCAAATCGTGGGATAGTAAGTTTCTGTCACAACAGGGCAATATTCCTCGAGAAAGCGGCAGAAACGGTCATTGCTGGCCACCAGCTGGGGTTTCTAGGAAGAGACTACAGTCAGACATGGGCATTCATATAACGCAAACGAACAAAGAAATAAATAAATAAATTAAAGCTTGTTTAAATCCTCCCTCAATAAACTGATTTCTTTCATATAATCATTTGCAATGTTTTTTCCTTTCATAGTAAAGAGATAAGTAAATGAAAACAAAATAAAATTCCAAAATGCTCAACTAAAAAGTGAAACACAATACATCCCTTACCTGTTTCTAATAACAGGCTATTCTAGCTCTGCTTTTTGCCAGCACTGCATCTTTCACTGACAAATCAAAACCACACTGTCTCACAGTAGGCAAGAAAGATTTTACTGAATCAATTTTCTTGCACCACACAGAAATTATGCTTAATCTGTGTACTTTGACCTGCACCTGCAGTACCTATTTTAAACTGGTAGGATACTCCTCCTCCCATCTCATACTACGGTACACAACTGCATTGGTTACTCATCCCTAATACCGCTCTGCAAACAGAGATTTTTCTTAAGACTTCCATTTGTATACCAATTAACATGGAAATGCCTGTATACCAAACATCTCACATTTTAGCAACCACATTTCTTAAACTTCTCATTTACACTGACTCTCCAAGCCCTAACAGGACAATAATAGGTACTTTAAAGAAAACTGTTACACAGTGGTAGTAGCACGTCCTTCCTTCATTTTTCTCCTCCCTCTGACCAAAATCAAGTACCCTCTTCTTGATGAAGAGGAAGGCTATGTTCTCAGCAGTGCTGTGAAGGACTGTGGCAACATGCGTGACTTCAACAGTTATAAATCTTCCAATGTGCATATTTTCAGTTGATTAAGCATTCAACGAGGCGCTCTCACCACGGGGCCACTTTAGATCAGATCAGGCTCACTGCATCCAAGTCATTTGTGAATGCCTAATTTATGTGAAACCACTACTGATGAGAAGGTGTACCGGAGCCCCCAGAACACTGCCATAGTGGCTCCAAAGGCATTAACGATTGGCACCGAAGGCAGACGCAAGGGCAGCAAACTACTTCTATCACTTGCCCTGTCAGTAGAGCAAAGAGGTCAGGTTTTTGTTGTGGAAGGAGGGGCTCCTGATCTCCCTTTCCAAACCATCGCCCCCAGCCAAGCTCTCCCCCCTGGCAGAGCTGCATTTCGGGGACACCTGAGGCCAGAGCCCCTTCCCCTCCCAGGCCGGGCACGACCAAACGCTCCCTCAGGCCGGCCGGCCCCCGGGGGCGACCGGCGGAGGAGACGCCTCAGCGGTTCGCCGAGGGCCCAACGGCCCCGCGGAGTCGGGCCTGGGCGGGGGGCGGGCGGGGTTTCGGCCCGCCGGGACCCCGGAGCGGCACCTCCAGGACGAGGACGCGGGGTGGGAGGACGAGGCGGCCGTGCCCCCCGCCCCCCGGCCGTTTCAGCTGCCGACGGACGCTCCCCCCTCGCCAGAAGGGCGCCGGCTGCCTCCCCTAAGGGGGGGTGGGTCGAGGTGACCTTCGCGGGACGGTCCCCGCCGAGACGGTGCCCCCTCGGCGGGACACCTGCGGAGCCCGCCCGCCCGCCCGCTCACCTTGGCGATGCTGCTGAGGTAGTAGCAGGCGTAGGCGACGCCGAAGCCCAGCACCAGGGACAAGCCCACGCCGGAGCCGAAGAGCCCCACGCGGACCTGGCTCTCCAGGTAGAGGGAGAGCTCCCTGGTCAGCACCTGCCAGTCCATCGCGCACGGCGCGACACGGCAGCGCAGCGCACCCCGCCTGCCGCGGCCGAGCCCACCCCGGCGCGGAGGGAGGAGGAGGAGGAGGAGGAGGAGGAGGAACGGGAGGAGGAGCTGCCGCCCGTCTCCTGCCGCCGCTGCCCGCGGACCGCTCCGCGCTGCAGCGCCGCCGGCGGCACCCCCGCACCGGCCCCGCACCGGCCGCCGAGGCCTGCGGGGCGCGGGCGGCAGCCCGGGGCCGGCGCGGAGGGGTGCGGGCGGGCCGGCCTCCTCCCGCAAGCCGGCCGCCGGGCCGGGCCGGGCCGGGCCGGGCCGGGCCGCGGCGGGCACGGCCCGGCCCGCACGGGAGGAAATCCTGAGCGAAGCGGCGGGGCGCGGCCCTGGGCGGCGGGGGTCACCTCAGCCGGCCGGTCGGCCGACAGCGCCGGCTTCTCCGCGGCACGGCCGGCGGCATCGCTCGCCCCGCGGCAGGTGCCTTCGGTGTCACCTTGGCCCCCTGCGCTTTCCCTCAGGCGGGGCGTGTGGGGTCGGATAGGACAGGGACCCGTCCGAAGCAGCGAGGAGCAGCTGATGCAGGCGTGTGGAGACTCGGTCACTGCCGGACGGGCAGCGTGTCCCCTTCCCAAACGCTGCTATTTGTACAGGAGGCAAGTCCTGCATCGTGCAGGAGGAAGAGGAGAAACGGGGGCTTCCCAGTGCAGCATCAATCAGCAATATCTGGCTAACTATTTTAAGTGAGACTAAAGTGTGCAACTGCTTTTCCACCTCTCACGGTGGTCACAAGGTGTTAGTGAGGATCAGAGAGGAGTAGATGTGTTCTCTAACTCCCAAGAGAAATTCTGCCTGCTCCGTTTTCAGCTGTATGGATTGTTGCGCGGAGGCCCTCGTGTGTTTGCTAACTCAGATGCTTCCCCCTTCAGCTTCAGAAAAAGACACACAGTATCTGCATCTGTTCCTTGGCAAAGTCCTAGGAGTGCAGTTGATAAAGATTCTGGAGCTGAGCATTTGCTATTTGAAATGCATGCATGCACCATAGGACACAGAAGTACTTTCCTTCTCATTTTATGCTTCAGCTTCATGAACTGTTGAGAGAAGACAGACCTTGCTCGGTGAGACTTTTCACTTCTCACCTTATCCGTGTCTTCTTGATAGATCACATTTTTAAAATCTAATTGAATTGGGGACCATAACAGAAAAAAAGAATGTAAGAGCAGAAAATGGGATGTGGCCTATTTCAATTGCTTCTCCTTACTCAGACAGACCTTGCCAGAGAGATTCTGCTCTGACATTAAGCATTTGGGCGCAACTTGTTCACCATGAAATATTGGTGGCAATCTCTTGAATACTGGGCCACAGCTTAACTTAGAGAAATACTGAGAGGGACTTTAGCTTTCCATACCGTAGAGAAAAGTGCTACCAATGTTCATACTGTGTGATCAAACACTCTGCTTTCGTGCAGCAACAGTGGATTCCAGTCCTGCTTTGACAACTACCACGAAACCCCTTGTAATATCTAAAGACTTTGCAGTCAAGTGGATGTTTCTGATTTCATTGCTAATTTGGATATGGAATTTGGAAACATCAAGCATATTTTACCATTCAGTCTGACAAGCAGAAGTCTTTTTGTCACATTTTTCTTCTCAACTAACAGCAATTTGTACAATTTTATGAATTTTTCACTAAAGAATCGGAACAATAGAAGTATTCAAAGTAATTAATTGGTATTATACTAAGAAAGGTAAATCAATAAGTGTATTGCAAAGTTCTGAAGAAATTTAGAAGTACTTATTCTTCCTATTCAGTCAGCTGTCCAAAGTTTCCAGAGACACAAGGACAGAGCTACTGCAGCCGTTGAAGACTATGGGAATTGGTAAGTAGAGGCTAGGAAGGATCTGGGGTTTGTTTCTTTTCCCTGCAGCTGTTCTAGAAAAAGGAAACTGAATGGGTAGAAAACCTATTGTCATCAACACCGTGCTTCCTCTGTTTCTGCTTACAGAGAACAGCCATACCCAGGTCTCGGTCCTGACTTGATGGGAATGTATGCTGTACACCCCAGATAAAAGAATTTATCATGAAGGACCCCTCCAGCATGAGCAGCTGGAGTAGATAGCTTAGCTCTAACAACATGTAGGCTTCGTCAACAACGTGAATTTAAGAATCATCAGACACATTTGGCTGAACTGAGGACTAGACTTTAGGATGCAGAGGAACCAGCTACTTCAGAAGAAGGAAACTGGTTGTTTCTTGCAGAAGGCTGTTCTCCTGCATTCAAGTCCTATCCCCATTAAGGTGAAGAATCCTTGAGCCACCCAAATACTAAAGAAAAGAAAAATCCCAAATCACTGAGAAAGGGCACAGTGTGTCCATGGGTCTAGAAGGCTTATAAATGCATCTACCCACATTTGACCAAAAAGTGGAAGGCATGCCTGTTGATGGTTAGAGAAACCCTTCTGGGGCATACAAACCCAGCAGTTTAATAATATGATCAACAATCTAGAGAGGCTGAATGCATGAAAAATATCCAGACACAAAGGTTGGTGAGGTTTATCTGGTCTTTGCCCACTACCCTGTGTTGATGACTCATGGGAATAGTAACAGTGTCAGGCACATATGACCTGCAATAGGCAAATTACATGTGCTGAGAAGGGCTGAGGGGTTTTGTTACAGTGTAAGGATGTTGCTACACTCTCAGTAGCAATAGTATTAGTAACTTCCTTCTGTTTTAAGCAATCCCCATCAGATCCTCCTGTTCCAGTGTTGGGCTTTCTAAAGTCTTTAAAAGGCTTGGCCTACAACACATTTTGCAGAGCTGAAAAAGAAAAGGCTCTATTCTGCTCATATTACAACTGCTTTCAAGTGATTTAGTGATTGCAAATTGTATGGGGGGAAGAAAACAATCTGGTCGCTATGGTGTTTCGAACTCTTACCACATTTTTTTTCCACAGGAAGACGGTTCTACATTCCCAGAGAGACTTGCTGTTTGAACTACGCTCTCTGCTCTCTAAGTGCTTCATTAAGTGATTGCATCAACACAGCTCTAATGGATTATAGATTAGGCAGAAAGGGCACAGGATTGTTCTTTCATTTTGTTTCCCAATTTATTTTGCTTAAGCAATAGATAATAATTTACAGAAGCAATTTGTTAGTCACAGCTTGATAGCATAGTCACAGCTACACTAGTGCTATGTTGTCTTTATTTTATTTTCTGTTAGGGGAGGTGGTTCCATGGTCATTTGGGGCTTGCGGGGGGAGTTACTGCATTCTTACTGATGTTCCAGTGGACAATTGCAATCTGGTCCCAGCACATTTCTCTGTAGCCCCACTCTTAGAATTTACTTCAATAGGCGCTACAGGACCTCTGAGGAGGGGCAAAGTAACTTTTAACCTCAAGAGTTTTAAATTCGAGGTTCTGATTGTTTATATTTTAACATTTGTTTAACTTTAGCATTCATCTAACAAAATGGGAGAAATATCCTTGTGTCAGCCTGGCCTATCTGGGGAATACTTAAAAAGTCCCAAGTCCATGTATAAAACATCTGAAAAGTTTTCCATCAACGCAGGGAAGAGGGCACTCACTGTTCCTGATACTTGTTATCGGCAGGGGAATGGGCAAAAGAAAGTGCATTTGAAAAATTCAAGTCAGCAATTTTCAAGCTTTCCTCATGCTTATTATAGATTTTTATTTCCTTAAAGTGTGAACGAAGTAGGAAATTAATGAAGTCAACTTTAATGTGCCATGTTGGAAGCTCTTCAAATTTCAGAGTAAAAAAACAGGCTGTGTTTATGTTTGTACTCTTGGTGCTCATGAAAATATCAACGATTGTGGCATTAGGAATAGCTGCTTCTGTTTGTCCCTTTCTTGAGCTTTGCTACTCTTACTATTATCTCCACATTTTCATGCATCTGTATGTTTTTCTTCCATGCTGCTTCTCGTCACTCCCTCAGGAAGCACTTGTCAGCCCTTTCCAGTGGTAAAGTTGGAAGGAACATAGGATTCAAAAGGAATGTTTTGTAACACTCGATTTAACCTTCCCTAACTCTGTTTCCTTCAGTTAAAATTGTGAGTATTTCTGTTCAGCATGTGTAGCAGGTATCCTGATTACAAATGCAACCACATAATCTAGCATTGCTTCACTCTCTGTTTAGGTGGTTGAAGATACCTTCAACAGCTGCTGCCACGTGAAGGCTGCCTGATATTCGTCTCCCTTGGCACGACACTTGCAGCATCTTGTCTACATGAAACCAGGTCCTGGCATTGGAATACAGCTGGCAAACTGCTAAATACAAAATCATGGTTAGTAGAGGATCAGACCAATTTGACTTACCATCATGTTAAATAATGGCGATGAAACTTTGGTTTGTGTCATTTAAAATGCTCACACAAGAGTTAAAATAAAGGTTAAAATTCCGCGATATATAACTGAGTATAATTATCAGAAGTGTGAATTAACTTAAAATTGATTGTTTTGCTCAGAAACCAAAGATGTCAGGCTATGGCATGCTGAAAACTGAGAATATGAGACAGTACAGTAGAAGCAAATATATCAAGGACACTTCTCTTAATTATTAAATTAAAAATGTTATCAGAAGCTGCTACAGAACTTGAAGAATTTTCATACCAGTAGAGTGGAGCTGGATGTTGAACCTCGGTTAAATTTCCTCCTGGCTCCAAGGAGTCTTTATTGTAGTTTAAAGCAAAATATTTTAATTTTTATTTACCTATTTTCATTCCTTTATAAACACTTCAAAGTGGATAAAAATTTTGCATCTCGTATTTCAAACACAAACCCAAATCATTTTAGAATGCTTTATAATATTGTAAAAAAACCCCACCAAACCCAAGAACTTCCATATGCATTCAGTAAATTCCTGTTCTACCTACATCAGCAGTATGGCTCCAGCTGAATTCAGTGGAGTCAAAAATATGTCCAATGAATCTTTTTCATTTAGGCAATTTCTTAGATTTTCTTTAGCATATTAATAGTGAAAAATCTTTATAATCACTAGACATAATCTTAAATGAGATATATGTTAAAAATGTTTACTTTATGCAAAGCATATAGCCTCGTTAGCAACAGAATTTCTTTGTTAATTTTGAAAATTTCTAGCTGTGTTTTTAATAAATACTGATTTCAACCAGTCAATCAGCGTGCACCAGAAATCTTACTTCTTTGAATTTAGGATTACATAATGTTGTGACTGGGACTATTTTCTTATGACAAAACAGACAATGGTTAGATTCTGCTTGAGTTATTCAATGCTTGCTACTATTTTATCAGATTATTAAAATTAAACATAAATATTATTCAGTGCTTAAGTCATCTTTCAGGCATTGCATAGTGCATATTGAGTGCCTTTGCAATACAAGTAAGACCTGTTCTTGATCGTAAGCACATGATTACTCCCATTGATCACAACAGAAATTATCATGCACATAAATTAGAAACATTCCTAAAATATCTTGATGACTCATGCAGACAGTTTATTTCCCTATCAGTCTAAAACTATGACCTAGCTGGTTCTGACTACATCTTAGAATTTCAAGTAAGTACTTTCTTTACAATCTTCACAATCAGGAAATTTAATACCAGGAAGAAATTAATCCCTCTTTCCAATGCATCATCTAATTTAAAAATCAGCTATGAATAAAACATCAATATGTGGCTAAACATTCGGAAATATCAAATACATATACATTCTTTAGTCCTCTGAGGTATGCTGAAGTAGGAGAGCTTGTACAGATGTGCAAACACAAGTACATGGTATTGTAGTGTGTATGCCCTAGATTGCTACAGAATTTTACTTATTTTATTTTGTCTTTGAATATTTAAAACCTCAAGCATAACTTCACAGGTATGTTGCCTTCTCTCCACTCTAAATAGTTCAGCCTAGTAAAACTTTAACCAAGGGAGAGGATTCCAGGATGCTCCTGCTGGGGAAAGATAATCTTCTTTATCCTAAAATTCTTTTTTCAACATGTTGAGGTTTTCAGCCAGGTACAGAAAAAATTCCTCCTTTTTAGCAGTTCTCTATGGGACTAGTTTTGTTTCACAGCAGGAAGATGAAGTGACATGTTTATAATCTATTCTCTGCTCAGCTGGTTTTCCTTCCTAGCAAAGAGGTAGGAGATAGAACTCCCTATGGAAGGACAGAGCAGCATGGACACTGTAGGTTAATACATGTGTTCCAATTAACAGTTCCATAGAGGATGCCGGTAGCATAGTGGAAACCAAACCCAGCAAAGAAATGTCTTTTGTTGCATGACAACTTGCTCATGATCTGGCATTAAAAAATATTTTAATCTCCATAAAATAGGAAAAAAATAAATGCCAATTATTTGTGACATTTCTGAAAATTGAGGAATAAATTGGATTGTGTTATGGATAATGAATCTGGTAAATAAAGCAGTGGAAATACAGTGCAGCAGGTTACGAGGATAGGTGTGTTTCAGCATTAATGTGAGATGGTAGATGGCCACGTGATGGCAGCAGAGACTGAAGAATTACAGGTTTTTTCCTACATTAAACTATGATAAACAGGGTATGGCCTAAAGTTCCTAACAGGTTCTTCAGGTTCTAGAAAATACACATTATGTATATTTTCACTTGAAAATATGTGCATCAGACCAGAAGTTTCTGTGGAGAGTGACTGAATAATTTTTATTTAAAAAAAAAAAAAACAAACCATTTGGGGCAATTTTTTTTTTTTTTTAATAAAACCGTAGCTATCATCTCATTTGCCAATATCTCCATCTTTCTTCCTCAGTTAGTCAAGTTAGTTCCACCCAGAAGAGTAGGCATATTTTGATAAAACCAAAGCAGTTCCTTACTTTCTCCAAATTCCTTTTCCTAATGCTTTTGTCCACAGGAAAAAAACTGCATTATAAAAATCTCTTTTGGGGAAAAACAGAAAATTAAAATTTAGAACGCCTTCAATTTTTAAGCAGGGGACTGAGAAAACTGCTTGTTCTAACAGACTTTTGAACTGAGGAGGCAGAAATTTTGGACTTAGATTGGTACAAATGAATAAATTATACCTTTGTATTTAAAAAAACCCCCTACGGTTTACTCATTATATGTAAACTAGATGCTCTTTCTCAACTCCTAGAAAGCTATTTATATATATCCTTCATATGACAAATTCTGAGAACCCAGGATTTGTGCAAGATAGTAAACAAAACCTCAAAACTCCGTGAGTTAATAATTGTCTTCCCAAGAAGTTGGGATTTTTTTCTTCTAAACCATATAAAAGCAGGCTTTTCACATGGGATTCTCTCCTGCAACAGGCACAGTCCCCTTTTGGCATTGCATGTTCCAGATCCTACGTTGCAAGTTCAGCTTTAATCAAACAAGACAGTCCAGAAAAACTTCTACCAAAGTCTCTCTTCAATATGCCGTGGTTGAGACAGACAAAACTATGGTCGAGATGGACAAAACTACAAGACAGATTCTTCTTTAAAGCAAGTTAACACAAAACCCAAAAGCCTTTATTGCTCTCCTCCTCTGTTCCTTTATCCTTTTGCTACAGGGTGTACAGACTTTCCAGACCGCCTACTGACACGCCCCTTCATGTATGTGTTTATACATCACATGTTCATGGAAATGAACCCTGGCTCTTGCCAGGGTGGAGAAATTAATATGCATAAGCTCATCACGCAAGTGTAGTTAGATGAAAAATTCAAAAGTTTAGACTCGCAAGCTTTCTGGTATCTCTGTCCACCTACAACTAGCTCCAAGTATGGGGCTATTAGTTCTTCCGATGTGTCTCTTTTCTTATTGGTTCAAAGTCGTTATGCTTTCTTACTGCGGTCGATAAGCGTGCTCATCTTGCAGCTCCTCTTGTTCTTGTTTGCTCCCTCAGGAGTAGATTGGAATCCTTTCAAGGCCGAAGTTGTCCCTTCCCAGGGCCTCAGTCCAGCTGAGGTACCCCACAATTCCCCGTTTTTGTATTTGTGCTACAAAAATCGCCCATATTTCCTTCTGCAGGGCCCTTTGCATCAGGGACATTAAACATGGCAACATCAATAACACAACTACAACAACAGTCAATACCGACATTCCAGTCTTGATCAGTGATAAAATCCAACGAGACAATCCCCAGCCATGAAAAAAGTTATTTAACCAATCCCACCCATTATCAGTCCGAAGCTTCTTCACTCCTTCCTTCAACATTTGAGACCTGATTGTTACAGTCATTATGAAACTGACGAGTGTTCCTCTTACTCTGTATCTTATTATGAATCATGGTAACATTGGGTGTTGGAGTGAGCCGTCCCAAGCTATATGATCCACCATTAAGTTTCGACGGGATCCCTCCCCATGCTCTATCCCCACAAATTAAAAATGCTCCTTCAGGCAAAGCAACTGGAACATTAGAAGATCTTGATATTTTATCAGAAGTATAGTAGTACCAAATGGAAGCATTGCGATAGGCAGGTAAAGTAGCATTTACATTTTGTCCTTTCCGTGGGGTGTTATAGGTATAATTGAACATCACACAAGCATCCATGGTCACCGATCCTAACAATTCTAATTCCTGAGGTTCTTGTGTTACTTGGGGCAAATGCGCACATACTGCATCCCAATTATCAGCACATGTCTGTGGGCTAACACAGGGGCCTACATTCACAGGGTTGGGCCAGGTGTCTATAGGCAGCCCAACCAGGGAAGTGGAAAAAGGGTTTCCAGGAGAGACAACAGAAAGACATAATGTTTTTTGTTGTGTTATGTTTGCCAGCGTTACCCATGCATTCGCTTTGGGTTGTGGCACCATCCATGCTTCATTATCTTGTGCAGCAGTCCACAACAGGCTGAACACAGCGAGCAGGAATCCATTGAGGCCCACCATCTGTGGAAACACAAGCATATCCTCTTCCCCGTGTCAACAGTTCACATGGAGAGGATCATTGACCTGTAGTCAGATCCCTTAACTGTACCTTGACCCCTGGTTTTACCCCAGAGGTAGGTGTCAGGGATCCAAATTGCCGCAGCATTGGCATCTGCGGTGAGTCATCTGTTACCTGCAAAAAATTTAAAACATATGTGGTTTTATTAAGGCGTGATTCCGGACTTTCTCCTCTCATTCCCCCTTTTTGTTTTTGAAGAATACACTTCAAGGTGCCATGGGCACACTCCACAATAGCTTGTCCTGTGGGAGAATGAGGAATACCAGTCACATGCTGAATTCCCCAAAAAGATAGAAACGATGCCACCTTGCTAGACTTGTATGCTGGGCCATTATCAGTCTTAATTTGTTGTGGAACACCTGCAACTGAAAACGTGCATTGCCAATGTTGAACAATGTCCTTCGCTGATTCTCCAGTGTGCTCTGTACCAATAATAACACAAGAAAAGGTGTCAATTGACACATGCACATATTTCATTCGTCCAAAGTCTAACATGTGTGTAACATCAGTCTGCCAAACTTGTAAAGCTTGTAACCCACGTGGATTGGTTCCATAATTCCAAGGAATATGCTGTCCTTGACAATCTGGGCATGGTGCGACAATGGTCCGGGCCTCCGCGTTGGATAGACAAAGCTGTCTCCTCAATGCTTGATGTCCTTGATGAAAAAATGGATGGGACTCAACAGCTTGCTGTTTGACATTAGGTATTGGCCCCATTGCTACCCCTGCTACAGCAGCATCAGCTCGAGCATTACCTTCAGTGATAAAACCTGGCAGCGTCATGTGACTTCTAACATGCAAAACATAATATGGATGCTGTCGCTCTTGAATCATAATCCATAATAATTTTAGTACCCCAAATAATTTTTCATTTGTCACATGACCTAGCACAGACTTATCCAATCGTTGGACCAAACCAGTGATGTATGCAGAGTCAGTGACAATATTTAACGGCTTATCAAACTTTTGAAAAACCATCACCATGGCTCGGAGTTCCACAATTTGCGGAGACCCTTCTTGCCGTTTCCTGAGCCCAATGGTTGCCCATTTACATGAAACCGAGATTTACACTACTTTGCAAAGTGCCCTGTCTTTCCACATCTTGAACAATTTACAATTCCCATTGCTTGTAGGGACTGCGACTGCCCCCCTTTTTT